ATAATGCCAACTGCTGGTCCCAAAAGTAAATTTTTTGAAAAAAAAAAAAAAAAAAAAGTTATAAGGCCAGCTGACAGTTAAGGCAGCTAGCTCCCATGTGGCTGACTGTAGGGTTTGAGTCCCAGACCCAGAGGCTTAAGAAAAGACACTAGACATGTGTGTGTATGTGCGTGTCCAAAATCCTCAGAGAATGGAGGAAAAAGGACTGCAGCATGGCCATCCCCCATGGGAGTGTTTTCTCACTTTCCCCCGCTCCTCTCTCTCTCTCTGGCATACACCCTAGAACAAAAACGAAACAAAACAAAAAGTTATACGAAGCTGCAGAGAAAAGAACAATCATCTGTAGGTGGTCACCGGAAGTCCAGTGTATACAGGTGCAGAGGCAGGAAGAAAGCTAGGAGTCACCTAGGAACTAGGCGTCAGCTCCATCTGTACGGCAGTGAGGGCACTGAAGGGGAAAGGGCAGTCTAAAGGCCTCTCTCACGCACCCTATAGCAAAAAAAAAAAAAAAAAAAACCCCAAAAAAAAAAAAAAACAAAATTGCCCCCACCCATATGGAAAGAACAAGTTCTCTACTTGCAGAATTTGTAAAAGTTCTGTGCACCAACCGGGTTCTCATTACTGCCAGGGCTGTGCCTACAAAAAGGGTATCTGCCAATATGTGAGAAAAAGGTTTTGGAGACCAAAAACTACAAGCAAACATCTGTCTAGATGTGTACACAGAATTTCTGGCTTTCTTTATGATTTTATTTTCTGCTTTGAATTTTCAAAGCATGACACAGAAGTTTACAAAATAACATGCTTTAAGATAAATAAGTGTAAACCAGGGAAGTTGATTGTATTCATTCTTTTGCTCACCAGAAGTTCTGAAAAGCCACAGTATAATTAATCGTCCACCTTAAGTGGTTATTTTCCTTACTGGCTTCTTTTGGAACTGAACTAAGAGGCAATTTCAATGAAAAATATTTCTCAGTTCTGTGTGCACTTATTTTGTTATTCATATAATTCTTATTCTCTTTCTACTTTCTACATGATACAAAATGTTATTTTGCTGTGAACCTAACATCACACTTAAAATTCTAACCTTATTTCCTTGCTTGTTCTTAGAATCAACAGTCCCTTCATTAGTTTCAGTTTCATAGGCTTTTTACATGTTTGAGGCCATTACTATTGAATGATTTCTTAACAGTATAAGCTCAAGCCCATATCAAAGACAAGCTGGATTGATTTGGTTTTTGTTTTTTTTTTTGGTTGTTTGTTTGTTTTTTGCTATAGGTCGTGTGTGCTCGCCAGACAGACAGAGAGAGACATAGAGACAGAAAGCGAGATGCCGCAATCCCTTCTCTGTTCTCCTCTCGGGATCTTGGGCATGCATGCACATGCGCCCGGCGTGAGTTTTAAGTCACCGGGTCGGGACGCGAACTGTGGTCAACTACGTGGGAGTCCAGTGACATAGCCATTACGCTAACTGCTGGTTCCCGAGGACTGATTTGTAATTTTTTTTGGGGGGGGGAGAGATTTTCACTGTAGGGTGCGTGCGCTCGCCAGACAGACAGACAGAGACATAGAGACAGAAAGCGAGAAATCACCCCCCAGGGGGGATGGTCACGCCGCAATCCCTTCTCCTCCATTCTCCTCTCGGGATCTTGGTCATGCACACACATGTGCCCGGAATTAGTTTTAAGCCATTGGGTCCGGGACTCAAAGCACGGTCGACTACATGGGAGTCCAGCGACACAGCCATTACACTAACTGGTGGTTCCCTGATTTGTAATTTTAAAAACGTGCCCATGAAGCCCAAGTGCCAGTTTCTTTCATGTGTGAGCAAGAACACAAGGAACACCCATATGGCTAAATGAATACTCTAAATTTCAGAAAAACACACATTGTATAATTAAATTGTCATAAAGTTAGGACATTGTCCATGTTGACATGTAATGAAAATAAATCCCTGCTCTTTGGGAAAGCTCCTCAGAGCACAAATAAATAAACAAACAAAAAAATGTTTAACCTCCTCCTCCAAAAGAAATAAATAGTACAAACAAATATCTTGATTCTCTCTCTCTCTTTTTTTTTAAATAATGCAGACCACTGAAAAACTACTTTGAGGTTTCACGTGAAGATTTTCCTTATGTTGTCTTTAGATGTTCAGAACTTCTGCTTGTAAAACTGCCACCTGCTCTGGGAGACAAAAACGTGTTCTGCTTCCAACCACAGTATATGTAAATATGTATTACTGAAAACTATGTGGAATAGGGTATATAATGCTATATGGTATAGAAAGGGCATTTTTGTCTTAAAACTACTATGAAAAGTATGTAAAGTTTTAACAACTCAAGTTTTTCAAATAGTATTTTTTTAGGATATGTTATTACTTATTCATATCTGGAAAGGTTACAAGGACGATGCAAAATAAAGTAGTATCTCTGAGGACAGGAAAAAAACAAAACCAAAACCAAAAGCCATGGTACTTTTTAGGAAGCTGGAAAGTAGAAACCACTTTCTCTTTGTTTATCATAACCACTTAGGAAACCTACTACACGGATGACAAGCAGTGGATGTTGGAGAACTGTACCATGCTGGCCCCCAGTCTTGACAACACGGCTTCCAATTCCTTTGTGGTGCTCTTGGGAGGCACAGGGATGGTTTCTTGTTTGAGAATTGGGCCTACATCAAACCTTGCAAAAATGAGAAGCAAATAACAACATGATTACTATTACTAAGGTCAATATGTTTATCTACATACCACAGACAGTTTATCACTGGCTACCAACTTGGCTGTTAGAAATCAGCGTGGGATGGGGTGGCGGGGGTGAGGGGGATGTATGTCAGTGCGAAAAGAAGAACAGGGACCAGCAGTTAGTGTAATGGCTATGTCGCTAGACTCCCACGTAGTTGACCATGGTTCGAGTCCTGGACCCGGTGGGTTAAACTCATGCCGGGTGCATGTGCATGTGTGCCTGAGATCCTGAGAGGAGAATGGAGGAGAAGGGATTGTGGCGTGGCCCTCTCTCGCCCTGGGGGAGGGGATTTCTCACCTTCTGTCTCTCTGGTGAGCACACATGTCCTATAGCAAAACAAAAAAAACAAAAAAAAACTCTACAAAAAAAAGAAAAAAAAAAGGAGGAGAACGAACTATGGTCTTTTAAATTGTTCTTTACCTAAAGGAAAGAAGCATACAGTTGCCTATCAGGGATCTAATTGCAATTATAAATAATTCTACCACTAGAAAAAAATAGTATGAAAAACACTATTTGGGGGCTGGCAGGTGGCATGGTGGTTAAGGATGCTGGACTCCCATATGGCCGACTGTGGTTCAAGTCCCAGACTTGGTCGCTTGCTTTCTCACTTTCTCTCTCTCGCACTCTGCCCTTCTCTGGTCAAATTAAAACAAAACAAAACAAAACCACTATTTGTAAAGAGAAAGCATAAAGCAAAGATTTTATTTTCTAAGAAACGCACATACGTGTGCCTGGCGTGTTTTAAGCTGCTGGGTCTGGAACTTGAACTGCAGTCAACTACATGGGTGGGAGTCCAGCAACATAACCATTACACCATCTGCTGGTCCTGGACTTTTAAAAAAAAGGACTTTTTATTTATTTAATTTTATTTGTTGTTATTATTATTGTTGTTCAATTTGACCAGAGAGAGAAAGGGAAAGTACAGGTGGGACTTGAACTATGTTCAGCTATGTTGGAATCCAGCGCCTTAACCACCTGCTGGTCTCTCACAAGAACTTTCAAAGAGCCATCACATAAATACCAAAAGATGTAGGGCTTATGTTAAAAAACAGGGAAAAAAGGGATCAATACAGAAAACAGTGAGCACTATCCATTCATCCATCTGCCTAAAGGAGACTGAAATCAACATTTAAAATCAAAAACATCTCAAGAAAATAAAATGTGCTCTACCTTTTAGGTCTAATTTGCATAATTGTTACTCCAGTAACTGTGTCTCCATGAAGCACTGTATGGATGATGGGGGCTGGACCACGCCACCTCGGGAGGCAACTGGGATGAACATTCAAGATGCCACTGAGTTACAAAATGCAGAAATTAGCAGGTCAGGGGGCTTTATCATTCATTTACTGCTACCTAAGCTAATATGGTACTTTTCATTATTAAACATTCCCAGAAATTTAGAACAACTGACAGTTTAGTCATGTATCACCTGAAAGAATAAACCAGAGGTAAATTTACTTTTACCATAAGAAACCAATGAAACTGAATTACAAACAGAGCAAGAACTATTCATTGTTGCAATAATGTCCCACACAGCTTATGTCTAGAAATTTTAAAATAAAATTTTAAAATGCATTTACTACTGGGACCAGCAGATGGTGTAATGTTTATATTACTGGACTCCCACATAGTCCACCATGACTTGAGTCCCAGACCTGGTGGCTTGGGACTCATTCCAGATGCAGGTGTAGGGGCCAACAGGTGGCACAGTGGTTAAGGTACCAAATGCAGGTGTACGTGTGCCCAAAATGCAGGGAGAAAAATGGAGGAGAAAGGATTGTAGCGTGTCATCCCCCTCGGGGTTGATTTCTCACTTTCTGTCTCTGTCATCCTCTGCCTGCCTCTCTGATGAGTGCACACTCCCTATAGTAAAAACCTCTCAAAAAAAAATTATTACCTGAGAACCGCCCACACCCCATTATGGATCTCAAGAACAATGGGAATTCTGTTTGTAGTTCCGTCACAATTACTCTCGCTTCACTTAGTTTATATGCAGAAATGCCTGAAACGAGCACCTTGACTCCCCGCCAAATGAGTATTCGCTTTGCTCTTTATGCTACACCTATCTGCTACTGATGAGCAATTAAACACTACACTAATCAGTATTAGTTCAATGCCGTCTTCACCAGCAGGAGTGTGTGCATGTGAGAAAGTCTTACATCTTTTCCCACTGTTCGGCCCAGTCTCCACCATCCAACAAATATGTAATAAACTCAATCCACATGTAGTGTGTGGGACAGAAGCAGCAGTGAACCAAACAGAAAGATTCTGCCCTCAGGGAGCTTAGGTGCAGAGCAGGACATAAGCAAGAGTAAAGCAGACAGGGGAAACGTTTGTCAGGTGGCGCCAAGGGCTATAGAAAAGTAAAGCAGAGAAGGGGATAGTAGTACTGGGTCCTGGGTGGGAGATGACAAGTTTGGTTTTATTTATTTATTTATTTATTTTTAATTCCACTAGTAAGACAGATGGGGGGAGAGTGAGAGAGAGAGAGACAGCACCCCCATAGGAGCCTGACCCCACAATCCACGCCCAGTCTTAGCCAGTTCTAGATCATGGGAGTGTGTGTGGCTGATGTACAAAGGGAAGTCTCCGGACACAAACTCAGAGCCTTCCCATGGGAGTTGGCCTCACAGAGAATCACTTTTTTTTCCTTCAGGTTTTACCATAGGGCACGTACGAGTGAGAGGAAAAGTAAGAAATCACCCTCCAGGGGGTATGGCTACCCCAATCCCTTCTCCATTCTCCTTTTAGGATTTGGGCACACATGCATACACACCCAGTCTGATTTTCAAATCACCAGATCCAGGATTCAAACTGGAGTCAGTCATGTGGGAGTCCAGTGCCTTAACCACCATACCACCTGCTGGCCTCAGAGCCTCACTTTTTAATACTCCAGCACTGTCCAGCCCCAAGGTTACAATGTTAACAATGGTCAAAGGTTTTACCAGTAAGACACTTGAGCAGAGACATGAAGGGTGTAAGAGAATAACCATGCAGATTCACAGCAGAAAAGTCTTCCAAGCAGAGGGAATAGTAAGTACAAAGAACTGGAAGAAGGTGAATGCTTGGCAAGTTCAAGGCACAGCAGGAAGGTCAGTGTGGCCCAAGTGCAGTGAACCAGGATGACAGTTCTAGGAGAGGAGGCCAGACCACGAGCAGGGGACAGAACAGGTTGGACCATGGGCAGGGGACCACATATGCTGGCCCACGATGGCCAACACAAGGACTGTGACTTTCATTCTGAGTGAGATGCAAAAACACTAGAGGATTCTGGCAGAGTGGCACCATCTGACTTCAGCTTTACAAGGATCCCTTTAGCTCCTGAGCTGGTAAGACTGAGGTCAAGGACAGAGCAGAGATCAGTTAGGAGGCTACTTAGTGACGCCAACAAAAGTGACAGCAGCAGAAGGGATGAGATCCAGATTCAGGACGATTCTGAAGGCAGAGCCAATTCCTGATGGGCTGGTTTTGGGGTGGGTGTGGGGTAAAAAACAATCAAAAGAATGACTCCAGGGTTTGGGGACCAAGCAACTGGAAAGACAGAGTTACCATTCACTGAGATGAAGACTTTAGAAAGAGACTGTTTTGGGCATCTAGAACATATAGTGCTTATCAGACATTCAGGCAGAGCTATTGGAGTTCAGGAAAAGAGCTGGGTTGAAGGGACAAATCTGGGAGTTGTCAGCACATATGTGGAATTTAAATGAGGTTTGATGAAAGCCCATAGTGATATGCAGCCTAATACATTTTGACAATCCATGCTACAAATAAAATGTTTTATTTTAAAAGAAAATATTAAAGAAAGCATAATTCGAGTTCAAACAATCGCATTTCAGATACTGGGTCCATTATAAAGACCGAGGTTTCTATACTGTACTTCCTTATCAATAAAACTTACTAGGGAAATTTAAGAATAAGAGTCTCACTCAAAAGTCGCCCGAATGAAGCCACCACACCAACGTCATATTCTCCGGATCCCACATCTGGCCACTCGTACACGGGCAGCTGAGACTGCACAGCATACTGCTTCACTGGAAGGCCTGCGGGCGATGGCGAAGGGACTGTGACCACCTCCAGCTTTTCAATTAATTCTTCCTCTTTGTTTTCCCTAAGTTAGACAGATTGAAAGAAAAATGGGACAGCGTTAAGGTACTGACTCAAAGCTCAACTACTTCATATACCACTAAGGTATTTTTATGATTGAACTTCGTGAAGCATTTAGGGCTCAATGATTAAAACTAGTACAACTGAGGAGCCAGCAGGTGGTGTGGAGGTTAGAGTGGCTGGATCCCACACAGCCAACTGTGCAGTTCGAGTCTTGGGCCTGGTAGTTTGAGAATCATGCTGGGCATGTGTGCATGCGTGCCCAAAGTCCCAGGAGAAAGAATTTTGGCCATCACCTTGGGGATGATTTCTCACTTTCCTTTTGTCTCTCCTTGGCAAGTGCACATGCTCTTGCCAAGAACCTTAAAAAAAGAAGTACCAGTATAACTGAAAGACTAACTTGTTTTTTCTTTAATTTTTTTTTTTTAATCATAGGTGTGCATGCTAACTGGAGAGGAAAGCAACAGAGAGATACAGAAAGGAATGGTCATTCCACAATCTGTTCTCAGATTTTTTGGTGCGCACACACGTACTTGGCATGATTTTCAAGGTGCCAGGTACAGGACTCAAACGGTGGTCAGCCATGTGAGGAGTCCAGTCCCTTAACCACCATAGCACCTACTGGCTCCTCTTAATTTAATTTCAGTGAGCCACATGCAGCCAGTGGCTACTGTGTGAACAGCATTTAGAGATTTCCTGTGTGTGCGCGCACACACACACACAGTATAGCTACTTTACACGATTGGGACATTATACATACTGTTAATACTATAATACTATTCTGGTTTTTTTTCCTCTTAACAATGACATATATGCTATTATGGCAATCTTTTTAAAAATGATTAAATAGGGACCAGCAAATGGCATAATGGTTATATCACTGGACTCCCACATGGCCAACCGCAGTTCAAGTCCTGGACTGGAAGGTTGAAACTCACACCAAACCCATGTGCACGTGTGTCCAAAATCCTGAGAGGAGAATGGAAGAAAACGAATTTCGACATGGCTATCCCCACTAGGGGTGATTTCTCGTTTTCTGTCTGTCTCTCTGTCTCTCCACTGAGTGCAGGTGTCCTATACCAAAAATCTCTCTTAAAAAAAATTGGGTTAAATATACATGTGCCTGTAAATGCACTGAATGATTCTAGAACAAGAAACTGAAAACAGTGGCTGTCTCTGGAGAGCGGAATGTGACTCTCCACTCAATACCCTTTAAATCTGTGGAACTGTGTACCATAACCATGTATCAAACAACCCACAACCATGAGTCACTAAAAAAAAACAAAAATATATATACCACGGGCATCGTTCCATGGCAGCATCCAAAGCACAACCTCATCTTTTTACCTGCTGCACAGTATTCCACTCTCCAGGTGCTGCACCCTTACTTATTAAACAGGTATTGCATGCACATGTGGAGGAGTTATGAGAAAAGGACTATGTGCCCGGGCACTAAAAGAAAGCACAGGAGGAATGGAGCCGTCAAATGAAGCATCTTTAGGAGGGTCGGGTGTGTCTTCCAGTAGGGGAAACAGCAGGACGTGGAGGAGGTTGGTGGTGTGAAGGGTGTCAGTGTATTCACAGAGCGGGCTGTGGAGGGAGGAATACCATACGGAGGACTGATGAGGGATTCAGTATACTCGGGCTGCTGGAGTATTGTAGGGAAGACGTGAGGGAGTGAGAGGACAAAAGGGAATGTGCAGCGGGGCAGGGAAAATGGAACGGAGAAAAAGAAAACATAAGCTGGGGAAAACGGGCAGAGCAGTACACATGGTATTGTCACCCCACACCACGGACTCCCAACACAGGCTGGGTTTCAAATATTTTTCACCCAGTAAACAAAACCCATTACAATTTATAAGTACTGAATATATACCTAAGAGTCCTGGTTTATAAATTTGCCCCAGAACACTGGGTCCGATGTACACATGGGAGACCAGGGTAGCGGAGGAGACGCGGGGTGCAGGATACCTGCGCTCGGGAAGAACAGGCGCAAAGGACGGGAGGCACACAGTGGACCGACCGGAAGGGCTTAGCGGGACGAGGAAAGGCAGAACATGTGAACTCAGACCCGGTCCGCTCAGCTGATGACCTGGGGCAATCGCTGAACCTCTGAGGCGGTTTCCTCACACTGAACCGGAA